TTTATAAAATTTCTGGATTCCTCCTGTGTCGGTTTTCGCCAATTATCCTGTTGGCTTCTTCAGAGCCTGACTGAAACCAGCTCGTTTTTTACTTTGTGCCTGCTTTTCTCTCTAATAATTTCCACATTAAAGATATTAATCGTTCCATCGCAAAATATACTACACCACAACCTTCCAATAGCAATGAGACCGAAAGCAATCCCATACTTGCCATTGTTCTCCTTCCTTATGTTCAAAACATCACTGAACACATATCAAACGTTCTAAAGAAATATAACATCAAAACCAGATTTACCACTTTTCAAAAAATCTCTCAACATCTTCGGTCCGTCAAAGAGAAAATTTCATTTAGGATACCAGGCTCATTGAACACGAAAGAGCCTTACGAGTAAGACAAATAAACTCATCATCAGTTCTTCTACCAACGAAAAATCGGAGAGTCTATAGAACTCTATTGGATGTTGAACGATTTTTGGACAAGTAGTAAATCTGGTTTTGACGTTATATTTCTTTAGAACTTTTGGCAAGTGTGGGATTGCTTTCGGCTTCATTGCTATTGGAAGGTTGTGGTGAAGTGTATTTTATGGTGGAACGCTTAATATCTTTGATGTGGAAATTTTCAGGTAAGGTGTTTTAATTCTGGGGATGATTTTTGGGCCGGATTTTGATGTGACATGTGACAATAGACATCTATAGCCTCTCGGATTTTTCATTGGTAAAAGAATTGAAGAATTTTAGTTTTATCCAATAAAATTTTATTTCAGGTTTCGTGATTGTGTTCGGTAACATCTGTTGAGTTTATTTGTCTTAGTCGTAAGGCTGTTTCGTGTTCTTTGAGCCTATTGATATTTTTCGGCCGATCCTGGCATCTCAAATGAAATTTTGTCTTTGACGGACCGAAGATGTTGAGAGCGTTTTGGACAAGTGGTAAATCTGGTTTTCATGTTATACTTCTTTATAATTTTTGATATGTGATCAGTGATATTTTGAATGTAAGGATGGACAACAGTGGCAAGTTTGGGTTTGCTTTCGGCTTCATTGCTATTGGAAGGTTGTGGTGAAGCGTATTTTGTAATGGAACGCTTAATATATTTATTAGAGAGAAGGTATTTTAATTCTGGGTTCAATGACTCGAGCTGAAATAATTTTACGGCTCTGTAAACAAGAGAGTTGATAACCGATGATTAATGGTTAATGGTTAATTTTTTTCATTATATTTCATCTTTTACTTTGAATAAATATGAAAATGATCGTAAAGTTTTGCTTTATATATAATATAAATCAAGATAATTAAACAATATTGAACCAGAAAACACTTAACCTTTACTTAAAGTGCGATTTGGCGATAAGGTACAAAAACTTAAAATTTATAGAAATCTACTTAACTTATAATAATGAGTGCTGTGATTTTGTCTTAATTTTTTTGTCCTTCGTCTACCCAATTTTCTGTAGAATGGTAGAGTAACTAACGCATATATTATAGTTCCATATTCTTTGTAGTACTTAAATACGCAAGAACTTCAAGCGTCTTCTACATTCCTTATGTCCACAAAACTTGTTAGTTAGAATATTGTATTTATTATGTTGCTACAAATCTATCAATTCGATATCCTGATTTATAAAATATACAAAACACTTAGTAAGTAAAAAAGTAAAGGTTACAATGGAATCACCCACATTTTCGCTATTTAAACGGGTACCTGTTTATAAAATTTCTAAAAATATTGCTGTATTATTATCTACTATTTTTTGTTTTCAGTAATTAGTTTCAGATTAAGAGTTAAAATTATTTCGGACAATTTTTTTTTGAGCATTTTTATTTAAAACTTATAAAATATAATCAATTTTCGAATACTTGACTAATATTCTGAATTTATTTTTAAAAATTAATTTCGTTATATCAAAGTAAATAAATAAAACTATAATGAAAACAATAAAAAAAAATTTTTAAAAAAAGAATGTAGGTACTTTCTTTAAAGGCAAATACATTTCCCTGTCTGCCGGAAGTATATTGTTGATTACCATATACCGACCAGTTTCTTAATCGTTTCAAATGAAAAAGAACGTAAAAAATGTAAAGAAACAGTTTTTTTGGAAATATCTTTCCCATATATTTTCCCGAAACATTATCTCAAATATTTTACGAAGGTGTTGATTATTGTTTATAAAATTCACTCGAAAGGTCCAAATTCTCATTTGCACACAATGCTATATATTTCATCTTTTATCGATTACGCGAAAGTAACTAAAGCAAGCAAAACTAACGTTAAATATCCCAGAGAAGGCACGGTTTCCCCAGACGAGTCGAGTAAAGCATGCGAAACGGAGAAGGAAAATAAACTTTGATATTCAAGTTAAACAAAAAGTTACCCACGGAGCAGTTCATTATCCGCCGGTGTTATGCCGCGCAGCAAACTTTAAATCGGCAACGGAGGACTCGTTTTCCTTATTTCCAGCAGCGATGCTGAAAAAACAAAAGTTTGTTTTAAAATCATTATTACGATTTGGAACTGAAAATGTTGATGATACATTTTTCATATTATCCGTGAAAACAATCGATCCACACAATATTTTGATAAATTTTGATCGCAAATTTTTTATTTTAAATCTAATTTTGGTTATATTTATTTAGAAAATAAACTTAATGGAGAATCTCACCAATTTTTGAGATTTTACAAAAGTCAACAAAGTCAATTTAAAAAAAAATGTATAATTTTCGCGTAAATTTACTTTCTAGGAAGGACTGAGCTAGCATTGAAATGAATTGTGCAGCAAAATATACCCAGGAATATTCCTTAATACGTTTTTAGGCAAAAAATTTCTATTAAATAATCATAACTGCCACAAAACTAAGGAAATAGAAGCGAATAAAAATCTGCAATGGGAACAAAAGGAGTAAAGCACAAATAAAAAAGTATAAAATCTATATCGGTTCCCAAAGTTTTTTGCAAAAAAAACTAAAATCCGATTTAAAATAAAAAATATTTACCAACTAGATTTGGCACTAAAATTTCAAAAAGCGATATGCAAATCACATGCTGTCCACTAAAAGTCCTTCGTTGGCTTTGAAAAATATGGCTGAAATTTGATGATTAAAAAATATTTGATATTTGTTTGATCTCTCTGACATCGAGTTCTTTGCAAGGATCTAACGATATAGAAATACAAACTTGGTAACTGCAATTTACGGATACATATAACCGGAGTTACAAATTATACAGTTCTTTTACTAGCAGTACATTTTTCTTGTTGTTCGTTTGTGACTATTTTTAACTGGACTGTAGTCACAATTATTGTTTTACAACGAATATTTGATAACCGACAACTCAATCGAATAATAAAAATATAAAATACTAAGAAAAACAGATAATCCAAACTTACTCTTGTAGTCGCTATGGAATGGTTTAATTAACAATCAATTAAAGACGCGTAGTTCTGAGTTGTTTCGTTAATATTCTCTCTGTTATGGAAATTTGGCATTCAAGGCCCAATACTTTCAATAAAAAATTCCCTCAATTCAATTAAACCTACTCTGTATTCATTTCTGTCTTGCTATTACTCTCTTCTTCATTTATCCCCATAATAATTATAAATGGCTTAAGAAGCTGAAGAAGATTACCACAAATATATTTTTGGTTAGCCCGTCTTATTATTAATGATTATGGGCTTTTTTTTCGTATTTTTTAAGATATTGTGTGGTACTACTTCGAGGTGTCGGCTATGATTACACTTTTTTGGAATATTTACTTAGTTTTTTTAGTTTCATGGTTATTGACCAAGCGGACTCTAATTTCAACTTATCATGGTCTGATTTTAATTTGTTCATATGCCAGGGATGCGCCTTTAAGCACATTTGTAATGACTAATAGTGTACTAATAATGAAAGTTTGAGTAAGTAATTGACTATAGGAGTTCATCGTTTTGTTACTAGTTGTGAAAGTTTGCTAAGAGAAAGAATTACCTAAAAGCATTGGTTTTGAACTGTAAATTACGCATCTGTTGCCCATCCTTATATTAGGAAAACATCTATTGAAATAGAACTACACTGAAATTTTTTATTTAAAAAAATAAAAAGTGGGACATATTTCGGCTATTTTGAAATTTTGCTAGCTGCTTTATTTAAATGTCCTTGTTATACTATTACGAATAAGTTAAGATTTTGAAATCTTGAGATATGCGGTTTCCTAATTAACACGGGTAACAATTTTTTTTCTTCTACATTTTTGAAACTTTTTGCAAAATCCTGAGACGGAATGTTGGAAAATGGAGTGTATTTGAACCAAGGCTATACTACTGCATGAAAGAAGATGGTGACCACTTTGAATATTTGATTTAAATTGTTTGTATTTAAATAAGTAAAATAAATTATTTTAAAAATTAAAATTATGAAAATTGTTTTTGCTCCATTTTAACTTTATAAGCAACATCCCAAAAACTAATAGAACAAATTTTAACTTAATCCTAAGGTAATAGAGATAGGGCACCCTCTCTAAATTTTAGGAATAAGTCTTAGCCCAAAGATGCATTCATCTACGAAAATTTCAAAATAGCCTAAATATATCCCTTGCAAACAAAATACTTTTCGGCTATTTTTATTCTTTTAAATCATTTTCGAGAAAGTTGAGTGGGTATTTATTTAAATAATACAGACCGTAATTTTGTTGGTTACATTCTAATAAAATAAACAGCCTTTCGAAGTTTGCTTTTTATTTAATACCCATGCCCATAGACCAAAAACCAACACATCAAACCCTCTTTCTTTTTTTAATGGATATGTTTTAGATGACGTCAATCATATGGATATAATGGAGTCTATTATCGAAGGTGTTATGACTTTGCTGCTATATTAACATAACGAATTCATGTTTTATTTACCGTAACGGCTCTATCTTAAAGGTTTAATAAACAGATAATTTCCAGAAAGAAATGTTCTCACTTTAGAGAAGTTGATTATTAATTTGTTCCTTTAAATTTATAGTCTTTTTTCTAAATTGTTTCAGCCTCCGGCCGAACGACATGAAGCAGGGACATCTCTAGCCAATTGGACTTCCTTATTCCCAGGGCGCAACATGCAGTTCTCTGTTTGGCACTTTTATCTGATATTGTTGTTACTCCATACAATGGAAGACGTGTCGGCCTGTTCCCCGTCTTGTTCGTGCAAATGGAAAAACGGAAAACAAACCGCCGAATGTTCAAGCAAAAACCTGACGGAGATCCCTGAGGGTATGGATCCCGAAACGCAAGTGCTCGAATTCTCGAGTAACGATCTTCAGCAACTGCCCAAAGAATTGTTCGTACGAAAACACCTACTCAATCTACAAAGGCTCTACTTGGCGAACTGCAAGCTCAGGACCATACACAAGGACACATTCAAAGGACTGACGAACTTGGTGGAAATGGACTTGTCGCACAATTTGTTGGAGGCCGTGCCGACCGCGGCGTTTATGAACTGCCCGTCTTTAATGAAGTTGACGCTCAGCTCGAATCCCGTGGGGTCGGTAAAGAAGCTGGCATTTAATCACTTGTCTTATCTCAATACGTTGGAGCTTAGCGGTTGCGAGATTGCTGAAATAGAGGAAGGCGCTTTTCAAGGTACGCGCGCGGTTTAAACCTAGTGGTAATTCGAAATCGATTAAGTAGTCCTTTGAATACACCCTTAATATTTGGGCGAATTATAGGTTGAGTATTAGAGAATTTGCCTGAATTCGACTTTCAACGAATTTATTTTAATCAAAATAATAATAGTTAACACTGCAAAGCCAATTTATAGTTGTTAATTGAACACAAAATATTCGCTACGACTTAAAGAATTTGCGAAGTGAACTTTACATTTTCGATTTAAGGCAACTGACGCTTATCAATTTTTCATTCGTGATTTTGTTTCTTAGATTGTTATTTTAAGTCTCGATTCGACGCGCCCCCCACGACTTAAAATTTAGTCGTCGTTACTTTGAAACTTTGTGAAGTCTAGTCTTTCATATTGACATTTAAAATAGATATATGCAAATATTGATGGATGCCTAAAGACAATTAAGTAGTAATATTTTCTTGAATTGAGTTTCCTATTAAAATAATGCAAGCAAGAGTTATCAAAATTTCCAAATTGAAGTACCATAAACCAAATTTTCAATAGAACTGAGGAGTAGAAGTAAGCTATATTTTTTGAAAATGATATTTATATATATACAAAGGTTTTACGTGCCATGCACTACAACCCATCAAGCGGGCAAAGTGTCAGAATTATAATTTCCGGAACAAATTACGTAGATAGGTGGCGCTTTCTGTAATTGGTCTGTTATTTTCACAACAAAGGGATCAAGTGCAGTAATACGTGTTGTGCGTTTATATTGTTTTTTATTCGTTCTCTTTAACGACGCTGTCAAATATTGTAAAGAGCTATTCGAAAAAAAATTTGAACGCCGAAAACAAGGAATGGGAAGATTAAATGATGAGCATAGACAACGCAAAAATTCAGGACAATCCTATAAAAACAGAAATGGGAACGCTGTAGCTCAAAAAAGAGACCTAACCTACAAGGAAGTCATTGTTTGAATTTCTAATATGGAAGCGTCTACGTGACTCTAGGAGTGTCACCATTTTTATCTTATGCGCTGTAGGTTTGAATTCACACTCTTAGCGCAGTTGCTAGAATAGTGGATTAGATACTCACGAAATATTTTTTAAAATATTGTGAACAACCCTACGGCGATCTCGTAGACATCTTTTTACTGTGTATTTATATTTTTCTGCAAGTCCTAAAAAATATTCTCCTTTCTTGCAGATAACATGTAAATGTAAATTTAACTGCAATTCGTTAAACTACGACCTTTTTCAAAAATACTATGAGTGCAGACCTGAAGTCCATGGAATGTACATCATGGCCTTAATACATTTAACTGACGTAAAGAGAAGAAGGCTGGTTCATTGGAAGACCCTCGTGATAGTCACTGTCAATGTACCATCCACTATAGCTTTCCAGATGGAGAGGGTCATGTTGTAGTTGTATATAAATCTACTTTTATGAATACTTTCGATTTGACAAAAAAGCATTTGTAAACAATTACACGAAAGAAAAAAAGCGACAAATTCGTTTATAAAGACACTCGTACAGCTCCTGGAAAATTTACATACAGTGATAGGCAACTTGTTAGAGAGCATATAAAGAGTATACCGCCAGAAGAATCTCATTATTCGCGCGCGAAAAGTACAAAAAAATATTTAAGTCCATATTTAAATGTGAACAGCCTTCATAAAAAGTTTTTGCAGAAGTATCCACTCTGTTTGGTCACCTACAAGTTCTACAAAAAAGTGTTGAAAGAAGAGTTTCCAAATGTTTCATTTAGAGGACCTCTAAGTGACACCTATCGTAAATGTGACCCGTTAAATTGCGAAATAAAAGCGCAGGGCGAGAGAAGTCGGGCAGCAAAGTTGGAGCTGGAGGTGCACCATAGAAAGGCAGAAGCAGCGTGTATGCTCATGAAAAGAGATATGGCATCGTCACAAGTACCAGGACGCAGCACGAGCGTCTTCCCAGTGGGTTTAGAACAAGTTATGTTCGTACCGACTTTGACGCACCCTGACATGAGCCAACTTTCATGCTACAACTTAGGAATCAACTTTGGGGATAACGGGCATTCATACACTGCTATTGGAATGCATGACGTGTCGGTAATGAAATTGGGTGTTGTTTATTACGCGTCCTCAATATGAGCATAACAGAAAAAAAGAATGTTGTTGTTTGGAGCGATAACTGTATCGCTCAAAATTGTTTTAATTTATGTGTTTTTAGTGAGTTGTAGACTCTTTGACACTATTGAGCATTGGATCCTTTTCAGTGGCCATAGCTTCCTTCAGTGCGACAGGGATTTCGCGTTGATCGAGAAAAGAACACGCAAGTGCGTTCCGATGGTACTTGAGGACTTACACAATGTAATACTGTCAAGTACACACACAGGCCAATTTCAGATAGTAGATGCGACACAATTTTTTTTTTTGATTTACAAGCGACAGATACTAAATCTTAAACAAGTGACAAGTGGACTCAAAAAGGCCTGACATTTTGTTTACTGCTGAATCTTTTTCTGAAGTAGCATGTTGGAAAGCCACGTCGATACTTAAGAGAGGAAAAACCATAGAAGATATTAGAAATATCTCAGTTAGGCTGCTACCACACATGAATAAGATCGTTGATAACAAGAAAAGGCAGCTAATATCAACGAATCCTTATCTAAAAGAACCTAAGCACCAAGAATTTCATTTTAATTTGACCAAATAATGTGTTGGCACTTAACCCGTTTCTCATTTTTCTCAAATATTTTTTAAAAAAATTGTTTAAAAATATTTTTTTCCATGTTTTTTGTGTCGCAGCTTGTAAGCTAAATAATATGTTAGTTTATTTTTTGAAAATAAAATGTTTTTTATTTTGGTAAGTTTTTTTTAATATCTCCTCTAAATAATTTTGGCACTTAACTCCTTTGTTATTTCTTTGTACTCTTCAACTGTTAAGTGTAACTTTATTGCAAATTATGAAAATGGCCCTTAAATACTTAATAGGACGGAACAACAAGGTACTAGGTGACGTGGTATAAAATGGCCAAAGACGATTTATGTGTTTTAAAAATTTACTTATTAGATATTAAAGGTCAAATTTTCATGTGGTTTTAATGTCCGTTCTCTATCACGAATTCTGGAAGAATAGTAATATATTGTAAAATTAATTAAATTTTTCTAAACCTTTAATAAATATGAATATACTTACCCTTGGACGTATAACTGTCTCGGAAATTGTGAGAAACTGTTCGTAACCATTTTCGTACTGTGAACAGAAAAGAGTCTGCAAGATATGGGAAAATTATTATTATTAAAATTTAATTATCATTGAAATGGAAATAGATTTTTTATGCAACTGCTGTTGTACGAGCCTTGGATGTTTGTTATCTAAAATTCTTTATATTTAACTAATTTTAATTAGTTTTAATTATATAAACCGACTGATCCAGCAAAACTAACAGTGTCGGTGATATTGATAAATTTTTTTGTCTTCGTCACTTAAGGGTCAAAGAGTGGCACTGTCGTATGTTGTCTGACATTGGTTGTTCAAGGAAATATAATTCAAAGAGTTCCATTATGCTATTATTTCAACATGTCTTAATTTAAATATTTTCTATATATTTATTTCGCATACGGGTCACAAAATTTCATAGTAATACCGCGTACCTCAACATTGAACACGATATACGTATAATTCACGACATTGGCTCATAATATAGAATCGAATGGAGCAAAGTTTTCGCATAACATACTTTTGATCACTGCGGAGCAACGGATGGAGTAAAAACTTTATTTACTCCTCAAGTTATATTAAAATGATAATTTGCCACTAACGTTTCTCTTTAAAATTATAACAAACACAACTATAAACTCCATAATCAGTTAGCTAGAATTCCTCATTTTGTTTCGCCTTTAATTGTTTGATAAAACTTAGTCCAAAATTCCAAGCTAACCCGTAATCACGATTATTTGGAATAATTGAAATAGAGATCTGCGAATTAATATTCAAGTATTATGTACAACGTGTGTGAAATAAAACGACCCACGATACGATCAGGAAACCCATAGGAGATACGAAAAAGTTTTGTACAAAAGTTTCTTGGACTCTCTTGAAGATAAAATATTATAATTTTGTTGATACAGGGTGTCCCAAAAGTGTCTCCCCACCAGACATCTCACTTGGCATCTTCAATGCTCGCGCTCCTGTGTTCGAAGTGTTTTCGGAGCGCGAGCATTGAAGATGCCAAGTGAGATTTTGACGAAACGTCTGCAGGATTCCAGTCGGAGTTCAACGAGCGAACGGATAATATCCCGGAATATAGTGTCATCATATATATATATATATATATATATATATATATATATATATATATATATATATATATATATATATATATATATATATATATATATATATATATATATATATATATATATATATATATATATATATATATATATATATATATCTGTATCTGTATCAACAAAATTATAATATTTTCAATCTTCATGAGAGTCCAAGGAAATTTTGTACGAAACTTTTTTCGTATCTCTCATTTGTTTCCAGATCGTATAGTAGGTCGTTTTATTTGGCACACGGTGTACACTTTGCTTATTTGTCTATGGCTTTCTAATACAACCATAAGTTGGTTCCATAAAATGAATATAATCCAGAAGACGAAAAAAGTTGCTATATAATGGTACCAATAATAAGCAGGACATTAAATGTAAATTACACACAAAATCACTGTCTACAAGAATATGTTAGAGGTCTACAACAGCTTAAGATTAAATAAAAACAAGGTCATCAAATTTCTCTAATATGACTTTCTCTTTCAGGACTACATAGTCTAGAGTGGCTCCACCTAGATTCGAACAGATTGAGGCACATAAAGGGTCATACCCTGCCGGAAAACTTAAAAGGTATCGAACTACAAAAAAATCCCTGGACATGCGACTGCCACATCAGAGATTTCTATGCATGGCTGAATAATTTTCATATACCGTTTTCGGTAGAACCAATTTGCATGGAGCCTCCCCGTCTAAAAGGGTCGTACATCAAAGCAGTGAAAGTCGAAGAGCTGGCCTGTTTGCCGGACGTTTCCCCGACGACGTTTTACCTGGAACTCGGAGAAGGGAAAAACATCTCCTTGTTATGTCATATTCGTGCGATCCCTGAGGCTACGGTAAGTGTTATACAATTGAAAAACAGACTTCTGCTGACAGTTTTGAATAGTTTTGGTTAGTCCTTGTAAAATTTGGAAAATTCTCAAATCGTCGTGGATATTGTTTCAGGTTTCGTGGTGGTTCGAAGGCCAGCTGCTTCAGAACAATTCCAAAATCGCTCCGGGAGTACACCTCGTCTACTACATCGAGGAGGGAACTGATAACAAGCGCAGTGAACTCTTTATTTACAACGCCAACGTCCAGGACAATGGCACGTTTATTTGTAGCGCGGAGAACAATGCTGGTACTACCCAATCTAACTTCACAATCAGGATAATTCTCAAGGAAGATCCGGTGGTGATAATAGTATCATTTCCGCTAGACTACTTATTAATATTGGTGGCTGCTGTGTCTGTGTTCGCGTTAGTGACCATAATTATAGTGACTCTGTGCTTAGTTAGGTGTCACCGGAAGACCAACAGAGAGAAAAAGAGAAGTCAGACTAAAGAGGCCGCCTTGCATCTGCAAAATAATCAAAATACCACCAACGGAGAGAAGGCCAACTGGGGTGAGTCATCGTTACCAATTAAATGCAAGCATTTCTTCAGGTCGTGTTTTTATTTGATATGATATTCACAGTAAGCTAAGGTTTACTGCAAGGTTATCATAACATTTTAAGATATTAAATAAAATATAAGTTAACCTACTATACATCAATTATCTTCTAATAATAGTCGTATTAAGCCTTGAAAATATTTGTAAGTGGTTTTCATGACGTTTTGAATAAATAATTGTTTCTTTATATGAGTAAAAATCGCAATCCAGCAGGCACAATCAATGAATAATATATGTAGAGTCACTTTTGTGTAATTACGAGTACAGAGTATCCCTTTTATTATGTGATGATACCTGTTCTCAGAGCTTATGAAACATATAAAAAAATGTACAGTCAAAAGTTGCTTGGCTTCATTAGTTCTTTTGAAATATTTAAAATATTTTAAAAATAAATAAATACAGGGTGATCAGAAAGTAATATAAAAAATTGAAATGAAAATTTTTTAAGTTTTTTTCAAATGGAAACACCCCATTTTTATAAACCTATAGTATTTTACATTTCAAAAAAAGGGTAAATGATTGTCTACTTGGGAAAGTTGTAGATTTCAAAATAAAATCAAAATCAAAAATAAAACTATTTTGCTGTATGTTGGGGAATCAATGTTTGACGGTTTTACGCCCCCTAATTTTTTATTGTGTTAATACAAAAAAATTAAATCAGATATAAGTCGTCAAAACATTTTCGTAAAAAAAAACATTTATAATGGGGGATTTATTAATTGGAAGTAAAACTGATTAATAGGCAAGCTTATTATTTGTTGCATTCAGAAAAAAGTATATAAAAATGAGATTTTTTGTGAAAACATATTTTTGTTATATATTTTAGAAGAATTATAAATTTTTCAGTTGATCATTGAAAACAATATTTCTTGTAAGTTTTTGACTATTTGGATAATTTTTGCAGCAAATATCTAGGTGTTCTAAAAAAATTCATCATGCATCATTCAAAATAGTGTCTCTTGTAGGTTTTTGTCCATCTGAATAATTCTCAGCAAATGTTCAAATATTTTTGATATGATTTGTTAGATTTCTATATATGAGGGATGAGCAATTTGTTCATGAAAAAATGTTCGTGAAAAAATCTGTCACCCTTCATGATTCTAAAATTCCTCGTCTCTATGGACTCCCAAAGATTACCCGACCTATAGTCAGCACCATTTGTTCTGGAGGATATTCTGGTTAGTTTCGACGTAGAATCCGTCTTTACTAAAGTTCCGAGAATCCAAGAATCTTTAACCAAACTTTCTCACCTTAATTGAAAAATGCTTGCCTGGAACATATTTTCCTTATAACGGTCAAATTTTTGAACAAACATCGGGAACAACTAACTAAACTAACTAACTAAACAACTAAAATTATCGAAACGCTACGTCGATGTTACTTTTCTTATTTGGCCTCATGGTCAAGAATCCCGGGTAGATTTTCTTAAACATTTAAACTCTATATACCCTAACCTACATTTTACCCTTGAATTAGAAAATAATAACAACCTCCCAATCTTAGATATTCTTATCAATAGAAAATCAGACCTAACATTGGGTCATTGTGTTTACAGAAAACCTAACCATTCGGCCCAAAAATCATCGGTTCTCAACTCTTTTGTTTACAGAAACGTAAAACTATCTCAGGTCGAGTCAGTGAAACCAGAATTAAAACACCTTATTTCTGTTCTTCTTTCCCCATTAAAGATATTAAGCGCTCCATCACAAAATACACTTCACCACAACTTTCCAATAGCAATGAAGCCGAAATCAATCCCACACCTGCAAGTGTTGCCCTTCCTTACATTCGAAATATCACTGACCACATATCAAAAGTTCTAAAGAAAAATAACGTCAAAACCAGATTTACTACTTGTCCAAAAATCTCGCAACCGAGACCGAACGTAAAATATCAACTAGGTCCAAAGAACATGAAAGAGTCTCAAGACTAAGGCAAATAAACACATCAGCAGACATAAAATTCAAAACATATCAGAATCGGAGGAATTCCAAAATATTCTATATAATATATATATAATAGGTATATATAACAATATAATATGTATTTTAAAAGTAGAAGTGAATCCAAAGAACTTTTGTTTTTGTCTTCATTATATTCTTTACAGATTCTGAAATAAGGGATCATCCCATAATAAATAAAAAGCCGACCACATAGTTTATACACAGGTAGATTTATTTTTATATATGCTTTAGATGTTGATGCTGATAATAATATAACAATCGAATAGAACTAAAGCCCATTAATGTTTGAGGAATAGAAAGTATTTCCCACTTTCATTTCAAAGTAATTTCGAACATTTTTTTTAGTTGTTCAAATTAAAAGAAATATAGAAATTTTTTTCAATTTTTTAAAGTTTATTGAAGAATACTTTTTGTGCTTAATAGTTGGCAAATCTCATTTTCACAATTTACTGTTTTAACCTTTGACTCAGATTGCGGCCTGTGGATTAGAAAAATCTTACAAAACATACGTTTACGTTTGCTACGACATTCAAACAATAAAATTTAATTTCAGCCAACAAAACCGCCTCTCCAAGACTCGATCAGCAACTGAAACTCAACAATTTAACCCCCGTCGCGACTGCGACGACGTATACGGAAACCGAAGAAGTAGTTTTATACGGAATAAGACATTGCGACGACCCCTTTAACAGCGGTTTGTCGCCTGTGAGGGCTGCAAATCGGAACCAAAACCAAATCGTAAGTCCATCATCTCTCCGAAGATATCAGTTGGAGCAGAATCCAGATCTGATAAATGGTACAGAAAGCATTGGGTGCAGGCGGGAGGGTGACGGTGAAGACGGACGAATGGTGGTGGAAGGAGTGCCACACCCCGCCGGTGCGGGGCAGGGGATGACGTGTCTGAGAGCCGCCGGCGGCGTGGAGATTTACACCGGGGATAATGGCGCCCCACGAAGTAAGTGTTATTTGAATATACTGGTTATTTTGAATTAAGCGCACACGATCGCTATGTTCTTTGGAGTTGCAACTTCGGTTACATTCTTTGTACGATGCTCGAGATAGAAACTGGAAGCAACTGAAGTTCATTTTTTCGTAATTTTTGTAGTTATTGTATCACCAAAAATATAGCATTTTATATATAAGTATTTTACAGTAAAGTCTGTTCATAGATATAAGAAAGTGACTGATATAAATTAAGGAAAGACGCGGGCAAGCTGTAAGAATGAAATATGGCCGAACAGGTCCGTCCTTGTTTAGAATTTAATTATTTGGGGTTTTGTTAGGAAAGATACTAAACAATATTTATGTATGTATTTATGTTTAAGTCTAAAATAAAATTACAAATTATTTTTATTACCTACTTAAATTACTTAAAATTCTTAAAAATCAGTATCACTATCGCTATCATCGCCTGCTCTAATTATTATTTGTTCTATATTATTTGCAATTTTCTGCTTTTTCTATATGTTTAACAGAATTTGCCCAACTTTGTGGCGAGATGTTAAAAAATTCGGTTTCTATAAGTTTGAGGACATTGGAGTTAACACGGGGAAAAACATGGTTGGTCCAAACATGTTCAATGGGATTAAATATACAGTGGTAAAACTGCATGCCCTACATTTTTTGGATAATTACGACAGACGTATTCCTTTTGTAGGTTCAAGCTTTGTGGAACCTCAATTAATTGCTTTTTGGTATAATCTTCGTGAAGATAAATGTCGTTATTATACATGTAGTTTTGGATTGTTGCTTTAGTCAACTGTCTACTGTGATAACTTACATTGTGTATTACAATGACGCTATTAGGAGGAATATTTGGAACTAGTTTGTTTTTAAACCAACTTTCAAATAAATCAGCGGTAGTGTCTTAATGGTAATCTAGAGAAGAATCTTTAATACTTTTCGCAGACAGAGAAAATCCATTTGGAATCAACCATCTTTAGAGCCAGCATGCAAAATAATTATTCTTTTACCTCTTTTTGATGGCGCGTTTGTTTTACACTTATCAGTTGAGTTAACCCAACCATTTTCCGGGGTATCATAAGTGTCGAACCAGGTTTCATACAAGTAAATAATTGGCATTTGTTGTTCTCTGTAAAACCTAATTTTTTCTAGATATTCCAGTCTCCATTTCCGAATTCTAAAAGATTCTTGCCTTTTGTCAATTTTTTTAAATCTAAAACCCATGTGTTGAATACACTTGCCTAATTAAGATATCTAATGTAGGCACGCTTTGATCCTCGTATAACTGGTAAATTTTACGCCGTATTATATCTTGATCACTTTCATCTACACTCGAGAAAATTTCAGCATCGCTTCTTTTTTTTTCCTCGCTGAAATGAACAATTTTCCATAGATTTGATGTTGGAATTTTCGTCAGTGTGGTTGTTTCTTCTAAAGATGCTTGCTTGCTGGCCCACGTTCAATGAAAGTCAAATAAACATTGTTTATAACTTCTCTAGTCTCAATAGAATAGTGTTTTCTACATTTGGGCAGGAGCATCTCCTGAAATACACTAGACTCGCACGTATTTTGCATAATTCGCACACGATTCAACACACGCTGTATTACACACGAAATAAGAATGATTACTAATAAATTTAAACTAGGTAGTATATAAAACCAAAGAATTTTAAACACAGGTAGGTATAAAATTATTTTGTATTACGGACCACAATTTTATCTGAATTTAAATTCTGAAACTTTATGTAATAATCTTGTTGCATTGTATGTTAATGACCACCCTTGGATAATCCACTTTCTTATATCTATGAACAGACCATACCTTAACCGCATACCTTCGCAGGGCCGTGGTAAAACCCATCCCAACAGATGTTTATTCTGCATTAACAAATATTTGTAGAGACTTGGTAATTACAAACAAACAACAAGTCTGATTGACACATCTTTGAGTAATTTAACTATATGCTGCTAAATTTTATATACACATATATTTGATTTAATGACCACTGATCTAGGCAATTGATTTGAGTAGCGGATACAGTTTAGTTATTATTTAAAAGCTTTACCAATATCGAAGAAACCTCCGCACTCTGTAATATCTATGTAATTTAAAATCTGCACTTTATTATCAATAATTTATTTTGTTCCAAGTTAGATTTGTTCTAATATATTTGGAATTAACAGTTTCCAAGTAACTACTATAGTCAAAGTCCCCCAAACAACCATTAAATTCCATCTAATCAGCACTGATACTTAATTTTTTTAATATGCAACCAGGTTGTTAGGAATTCAAAACAAAAATGCGCCTTATTCTCCAATCTTGCATGTTCGCCCTCATTAATTCTATCGTTAAACATCCATTTTTGATAGCATTCGAATTGACTGCAAACCAAAATGTCCCTTCTTCATTAAGGGAGATAGATACGTGACGACTTGATTAAACGGAGTGAGCCGAGGAAAATAATTGCAATCCAGACTACATCCCGCTCAGAGGTTTTATGCACGTAAACATACAGACAGACACCGACTTCCCTATGATCTGCTGACTCGAAACACGAAGTCTAAACTGCGTTATTCATGGGGTTGCGACACTAACGATAAATTAACTACTAAATATGCGGTAGGTTTGAGACGAATAGTTCGGAGACGTCCGTGTATGACTTGCAAATGATGTAAGAAAATGTAACAGGTATCATAGAAGGCAATGTCCGCGAATATCCATATGATTCAGGCGTCAGTAGCATTAATAAATAATACCCACTTTGGAAAAACATTAGACTTTATTTATTCCCCGGTATTTAAGTAACGGTACTCCTAGAGAGTGAATTCGATCTAAACTGGAATGGGTGCGGCAGCCAATACAATTTTGCGAGGAAAATGTTATTTCGAGGGAGACGTAGGGTAACGAGAATTATTTCCTTTTATATTATTTCTAAATTGGTCTACCTGTTTGGGGGGGTTTGAAGCTAAACGGTTATAATACGACCAAAAAAAATGTAGTGCATTTATTGCTTTGACGTTTTAAGTCTGTTACAGTCCTTAACTTTCGCAGGACCGCGGTAAACCCATCCCCGCAGATGTTTATTCTGCATTCAAGTATTCTTATTTGAAACGTAAATGGAAAGTTTTAAATTTAAATTAAATTAAGCATTCACGCTGCGCATTATTTATGAATAAGTAGAAGCGTTTATTTTAACATTAGGTGATATGTATCGTTCTTAAGAGTTTAATCTAAATTACAATATGTCCGTATATATTACGGAAGTATTTGACTGTGATCCTTCCAATAAGTACGTAGCTGATTCTAGAACTTTGACACTGAGAGGCTGTTTTCACGGGATAGTTCAATGGGTAAGGGTAAGTACCAGTACTCTATTTATCTTACAGCTAATTTTGAAAATAAGCATTTTTGTCTTCTGTGGCTGTCGATTAACAACATTCTTCTTGTATTTTTGTACATCATAAGAATACAGATAAATATTTATTAGAATCTTACAATTAAACATTTTGTGAAGGTTACTGTTTTTTAACACTTTAAAATGTGAAGACCATGGAATGAAACAGATGTTCCCCTGTTAGAAGAAGCCATGGAAAACAACGCAGAATTTGAAGACGAACTACTTCAGCAAAAAAAAAAAGCAAATCCATTTCTCTTTGGATACTAAACAAATTGTTTGGAATGTTTACAATTTTATAAGAAATTCAGAAGGGGAAGTAGGAGCAGCAATAAAATTGCTAGGCGAAAAAGATTGAAAACACATCCCGCTTGTTAGAGTAGGTAGATAAATTCCTAGGACGGTCCTGGAATAGCTACGGGTAAGGGTCTGCTCGGCAGGGCTATAAAGGGCTGCGGTTTTGGAGTAATAAGCAGTAGGCAAAGTTAATAACGGGATCGGTTGTAAAAACACTATATTTCTGGTCGAAGTATATATTTCTGACCAAATTAGCCTTTACATTTTTTTTATTTCGTTTATTAAATTTAGAAACCAAATCGAAGAAGAATTTTTTCAACTATCCGGTTACAGCAGAAATCATGAAATTAACAACTTGAATTCTAAGGAAGTTATATAAATTTGGAAATGGCTCTCTGGTTTTCGGAGAGGCTCCTACGAATGATATAATAACACATTGTCGAGCAGTTTTAAAATATTTATTTGCTTCATCAATTCACTAAATTTAACTGGTTTTTCATGGTTTCACCTTTATCATGAGTGAATTTTGTCACCATGCTGTTGTCATTGTCAATGACGGACCAACAAGTTTATATCGTGAAGTTCAGATAAATTGAAATGATGACAGCAGTGTTAACTACAGGTAGGTTCTTGTAATAATAAATATAATATTGCAGAGATAGGAAGATAATTGAGATATTAATTATTCAAAGATCAAGTATATAAAAACTTATATAGAAATAAATGGTAAAAAATATTATTATCTAAAAAAAAAATCTGCTCTTTACAATGCAATTCACACACACATCTTGCATTTGCTTGAAACAATCTTCAAAAACATCAGCATTCATATCTTCATGATAGTCTCCAGTTCGTTTTGATTGAAATTGCTAATACCAAGAAATCCCTTTTGGTACCAATATGATTAATTAGTCCTCCTTACAGTCGACCTTCCTTCTATGAAAGCTTGCCTAGTACTTTTTAATGCTATACTATGCTATGCTATAAAAGTGTATTTCGTTGTGTTTTCCCTATGTAACTGTCTAACTGCTGTCAAATATTTTTATCGCAAGCAGATAACTACATCTTTCTCTATTAAAAATGATTATCTGCTTTGCGTTTTTTCGTAACGCCATTTCCTTCAAAGTTTTTCGCAATTTTGTTCTCTGTATGACTAGATTGAAATTATCCTTTTTCAATACAGACATGATTTTGCTCAAGGTAGGTTCTCTTTTTTTAAAGTAAAACGAGTATATTATTATTTACAAAACTTCTGGATTCCTCTCGGATGACTGATTCCTAATATGGAACAATATATAAGCCGAGACAGAGTAGAATGCGAGCCAGTTTCACTTAAGGTCTGAAGAAGCCAACAGGATTGTGAATAACAATACAGTATCCTGCGGAAGTTTCTTTGAAAAAAAAAAGAGTGTATTAATATTTTCATGGCAGTCTTTTCATCTTAAGTTATGACAGTTTATTGTCTTTCTGAACTTCTTTATGGACCTTATGGACCCAATGGGGCTGCATTTATACTCGACCTCAAGTCGGACTCTCCGACTCCAGTCGTGTTTGAATATTTTATCTCTTTTTGCAATTCCGAATGATGAGTTTGGATAGCGAAGAGCTTTGAACACATTGAGAATAATAACTTACTCATTTTTGCCATACCAGAAGAAAAAAAAAATACACAAACATTTAATAACTAAAGACAATGCAATCAGCAAAACAAATATTCTAATCATGAACAATATTGAAATTGAAATTGTCGAACTTCCATCACCTTTATTTTCAGTTAACTACCCGTTATCAAGTGCAGACTTTTAGTCACTCAATGTAGAATCAAGCAGTATGAAAAAGGATTTGCTTCATAATGGCTACATTCAAAAATGTATTGACAAAACATTATTAAATTTTAAATGTGAGGTAGATACTGTCTCTCCCATGACGACCCCATAAAAATCAGTCGACTAGCAAAATAATACAAAATTAAAACTGTATTCGGGTCGGGGACGACATTGAGGAGCATACTTACAAGAGCAAAGCCAAAATCATCGACTCAAGAGAAAGAGTGTCTATCAAACACCTTGTGAATGCGGAGAGTCATACATTGAACAAATAAAAAGACCTTTCAATGAGTTGAACAACATAGGAAACACGCAATGAGGGGTGAAAACCAAACGTCAGGAACCGCGGAAGATCTATGGACCAAACAGCACCACATCAAATCTTCAAAGTTCGGCTTGTCCACAGGGAACCGCATTGGAAAAAGCTCAAGTTTAAGAAGCAATTTAAACATCTTTAATAGGGCGCAGCAATATTGGCGTCCTACAGGAACAACCTCAAGGTTGACTACACCTGACTCCGTCACGGTGAAACACTGCATTCTAGTATATAAGCGTCGTAGAATTAAAATTAAAATTAGTCTGCACTTGATAACGCGCATCTGCCCGCAATGTTGCGTAAACAAATAAATAAAGATAATGGAAGTTCGACAATCCCTTCTTTTCTAATTTATTAATAAACAATATTTTGATGATGAAGCAACCGAAGAGAAATTGAGGAATTCCAAGGGGTTTATGAGTATAAACTGAACTTACCTCTGGTGTAAGACTTTTGGATTTCTCATGTGAAATCTTTGACAACCATTTTTCAAAATTTGGTTTTTGAGAAAAAAATTTATTATTGTGTTACAGGATACTATGCTTGGGAAATACTACAATAAATAACAAATTCTTTTAAATATGCTCTGTTCTGTCAAATATTTAATTATACACTAATGTAGCGTGCGGAAAGCGTCACATTACCACGTGAGTTCCTTGCCCCACGCATCCGACCCCTTTCGGACACTTCCGAGATATTACCACACAGGTTTGAGAGCAATCGGAGATTTTACCGCACCAAAATTGAATGGTCGAAGAAAAAGTATAATATGCAACACGCTTGGTAAGCTTTCTTAGTCACTCGTGTATTAAACACTCGCTCGGCTCATGAAAAACAAACTCGTGATTCAGATGCCGTTTACCTCACTTGTTGCATAATATACTATTTTTATACTATTTTATTTTTTCTTATGACTATATACTGTACCGGTTTTCATGCGGACAACTCCGAAGAAGGATTATTATTAATCAACGATATGACTATGTACACTTACACACACATACCGCGCTGAATTTAAATATAAGATACCCGGAAGACAAAATTTGCACCCACATTTTCCGCCCACCAACACCAAATGCTTAATTTTTTAAAAACACAGAAAAACAAATTTCGCTTCCTCGCTATTGGTGGAAGCTTCAACCACCGCGGCGCAATCAAGTCGAACCAATAGCGAGGTAGCACCGCTAGTCGCGGCAACCGTGTCCCCCACCCCGCCGCGATACAATTTACGGCGGAGGGGACCGCGATTATAAAAAGCGCCGCACCGCACATTTTCACCTCAGTTTAAGTGCGGACACGTACGAGTGACATGGACGCGCGGCCTCTGAAGATGCCAAGTGATATTTTTGCGAAACGTCAGGCGAATGATCCTACTCCAGGGGCAAACAACGAACGGATGAACACCCGGATTACATATATATATATATATATATATATATATATATATATATATATATATATATATATATATATATATATATATATATATATATATATATATATATATATATATATATATATATATATATATATATATATTTCGTATGGTAGACTCCGTATAGTTATTGTCTCGGAGTGTTCGTGCGATTTTTTCCATTTTTTGCTTGTTATGGATTTCGTCTGTGAGTCTCACCGATCTGCAGATCAGAGTATTGGCAACGGCCTGGATTTGACTAGGGTGATGGTGCGATTGTGCATTCAGGTACCTGTCGGTGTGAGTAGGTTTACAATATACTTGATGTTGCAGTTTTCTCCCGTCTGATCGTGTCAAAAGGACGTCCAGAAATGGTAGTTGTTTGTCCTTCTCCTTTTCTATGGTGAACTCGATTCTATCGTGTAAAGAATTCAAGTAAGTTAGAAAATGATCTAGCTTGGCCTCCCCGTGGGACCATATGAAAAAAATGTCGTCGACGTATCGGATCCAGAGCTTCTACTTGAGTTAACTTTCTCGGATCACTTGAGCTTCGAAATAGGCCATGAACAGGTTTCCTATCACTGGCGAAAGTGATGACCCCATTGGGGCACCATCTGTCTGTCTATAGAGCTGACCATCGTATCTAAAATACGTGTTCTTTAGGCGTTGCACTGGAGATAACATTGCTGATAAAACGTCTAGAACGCCAGACGTTTGTCTAAAAAAAAATATATACAGCGAAAATCCAACATGAGTAAAACAAATTAACGTACATAATAATAGCGGGTTTATATGGGTCGATTTTCGCCGTGCGGCAAGTCGGTTCGATAAAGCCTTGCCAAAGCCGCATATCTTCGCCATTTACACAGTCGATTGAAAACGCAAGCGACTCAGTATTTATTTTTTGAAAATGATAACCAGAGCAGGTGTTTTACGTGCTGGCATATTTTTTATCTTTGATTTAAGTTCTTCAACTGATATGGAAAGACGCATTTCTCGAATAATAGGCTTAAGAGCCGCTAAACGAACATCATTTTTCCTATAATCTGGTTCTCTTGGGTTCCATAACCCCTGCTTATGTCTCTCTTTCCAAAGCATTCCAAAAAAAGTATGGTATTTTTATAAATGTTGATTATTAAATTTTCACGTACTTAGCAGAACACACACCAGTTTTGACTTTCATGAGGCAAGAAATCGACTAAAAGTGAAATATTTTCACAGTCGGCTTTAGTCACCCGTGGCTTGCGTCATGTGATCGCTCGGCAAAAGTCGAATGGTTCCCTACTTGGGTGGTTGCGATTTTAAGTCGCTTCGGTATAGACGATTTGATATTTACACGACCGATTTTCGCCGTACGGACTAATCGTTCCGCAAAAATCGACTAGTATGAGAAGACGTGCGGCCTGATAATCTAAGTAAAATTATGTTTTGATAACCGCACAATATTTAATTCAATATGAGAGGAGAGGGACCAAAAATATTAATGCAATTTGAAAGTTTTAAATGGATATTAAAATTTACAAGAGTCGAAAGTAAAATATCGTCTGTACCTAGCTCGATCGGGTTCTTGACACAAGGGGAGAGGGGCTCTAGATACCACAAATTATATAATTTCTTGTTTACTGTTGATTCCTGAATAATTTATTTACACAAATTTGGAGTCTATTTCTACCCTCATAATATTTCTCGGGGTTCCGGTCACAATTAGTGCCTAAGAATAATAGAAAAAAAAAACATAAAAACTCTTTTTCTACTAAAATTCCAGATGTGAGGCACATTGTCGATCGAGAAGGATATCCACTCGACTACGGTTTACCGAAGATGCCCTGCAGCGTTCCCTGTAATGAAGCTTATTACCGTACGCTTCCGTGCAGCAGGATGAAGCGCCATTCGGCTGCGAATCCCCTGAAGAGGTACTCGAGAGAAGTCGAGTTTTTATCGAGGAGTGTCGATTCGCCTTATGATCATTATCACACCGATATCAGGTAACGATTTTTTCGGTCAGTGGTTCCTTTCGCTATTTACGTCGCCTTTTTCTTAACCTAAACGAACCAATTTCTCCATAAATATAAATAAAAAGCAAAACAAGTAATTTGAACCAGAATTTTAACTTGCAATATAATTTTCAACTATTATGTCGAATATTTTTTTAACTTTTAAATATTGACAAAACTTGTGTAGGATTCGTATTTGTATTGAAATCTTTGGATAATTTTAAGAAAAGTTAAGGGTAACATATTATATACCTACTTATTAAATTAAAAAAAAATACTTTCTTATCATAATTTTTTCCGAATATTAAATATCCATATGTGGGCGTCACAAGAAAGTAGTTTTTATTTGGGCGAAAACAGTGCATATTATGAAATTAAGTTTAATTTATAGAATATAAAACTTTTTTTACGTTAAAAATCTCTCTCAATTTTTAAAAGGTTTGTTTAAAAAGTTATAAAAACGTAAAGAGTGATTCGATAATTTTCATCAAAAAATTACATTTTTCCTAAAACTTTAGCACCTTACAGCTCAAAAATCATATAAATATATAAATTTTCAACTTCCCGAGAAGTTTCCCCTAATCAGACACTCAATAATAAGCGCCATGTATACAAATGTAATAAACAATCGTAAAAAACTGGGCGCCATGGTGATAAATTCAAGTTCAAACTTTTACACGTTTTGTTTTTGAAAATTTTTCCTTTAATTCTCATTGCGACCTTGCTCAACCCGAAAAAAAAAATTATTTTATGACCTAACCGTTGTTGAGAATTTGCAGAGGTGGCCATGGAAACGCCTAGCTCCTCTCACATAGAGTGTTTTAAGAGTTGTGCATAGACTCGTCCTTTCTCCTACTTTCTCGTCTCTCTAGACACGAAAATTCAAACTTCCATACCGTCTCAAAATCTGCGGTTCCACCAAAGCATCTAAATCTTGAATCCGATCTCAGCTCCCGAAGTTTAAAGTTAACCATACAAAATTGTCAACCTCCTCGATACGATCGATGGCGTCCTCTATCTTGTATTGATGAAGACAAAGTCGACTTCCTACAGGAAAACAATGCATCGGTCTTAGAAACTTTAGAATCACAATTACGTACGCGTACGCCTTGAGGTCTAACTTAGTTGTGGTCGATGTAGACATGTTATGTTCACGTAGCAGATAAATTTACGAGTTTTCGTAAGTTTCAATATTGAATAGTTTGACACAAATTTAGTTGTGCAACTGAAATACATGTTAGTTAGGATAGATGCTTTCCTATATTCGATTTAAGAATTTTACCACGAATAGAAATAATTTTGCTTATCCTAATAGTACAGAACAAACAAAACAAGAAGGCTGATTTTACTATTGCGCAAATCAGTTTTCGATCTCCCTAGGTTTGTTATTATATAGTTCGTTTGATGAAGTGCCACCAAGAAAGACGATGAACTAGATAGGCAATTTAGGGGCGGTGCTTAAAGTTTTTTGTATATTTTGTGGTGAGCTCTAATACCATTAATAATGTGCATTATGCAGAACTTCCAAACTCGATCGCTAAGTACAACGATAAATGTAGGTGATTAAAATTATTGGCTGCTGATATAGGTAGCTATGATTTTCTATTTTAAAAATATTTGGGCATTGAAGCGTTCCCGTATCTATTCCAACCAGACATAAATTTTTTTTTCTATGAATAATTCTAAAACTTTTTATATCTATATTTTGGGATATTTAACGAAAAACATCTAAAATGAAAATAATTGCCTATCTTTCAATTGTATCATACTATGGCACGCGATTTGAGTTATCTCATAATTATCTACATTTTGCCAAATATGTAAATTTTAATTAAGCGTGAATTTTAAATACAACCCTCGGCATTGCCACAAAAAAGGATCAATTTATTTTTTATCTGAAGTATGGTAATATATTTTGAACAGTTTTCGAGTTAAAAGTAAAAAACTAGAAAAAGGCAAATTAAGCAGGTTCTTAATTTAGTTTTAGTAGTGAGAGATTGCGATATATTTTGAGTCGTCAAATAGTTGTTCAAAAAATATTAAGCTATTTGCAATATATGGTTTTATATAAACAGGGTGTTGGAGCAATCATCAGCAGATAAAAGTTGTCTATTTTATAATCGAACACACTGTACATTATCCATTTAATAAAATATCTTAAATATTCTGCACATGGTAGATATGGTGACGCTGTAATATGCCAAAATATTTAAAAAATAGGAATTATACTCTACTCATACTGAAATTGAACTGAGGTGGCTTTTACTTGATGAAAATCCATTTATCAAAATAAATCAGAACTAAAAGATCAGATTTTCACGAAATTATATATTTTGACATTACAATTGTTTCGACAACACCGTGACTTTGTCAAATGTTGACACGGTGTTGTCGAAACAATTGTCATGTCAAAATATATAATTTCGTGAAAATCTGAACTTTTAGTTCTACTCATACTCCATATGGGCACGTGCAGATGGATGTTAATGTTTGCATCGATGAATGTGCTTTTAAAAAAGTATATACAAAATCGCTAGTGCGTATGCAGAAGAACTTATACATCGCTGCAAGATTAACGGGTAACGAAAATAACGACTTTCAGACTGGCCTCAACGAAACTAAGGTGCTGATACCATTTAGTACCTTATTTTGTAAATGTATAATTCTGAATCAGTATTTAGATGCTCAACTATATTTAAATTGGTAAATGGTATCGAGTTATAATTATTGTTAGATATAATTTAGAAGATATATAGCCCTCAGAATTCCACTAAGTCAACTCGTAAATTCCGCACTCTTCACGAAATATTAGAATTACAGTTTTACAGGCAGTCTAATTTGAGTTTGTTGCACCTTGTCCGTAAAACTATTAAATGACTTTTTAAGATGATGAAGATTTCTATTTTTAACTTAAATCGGATCCTCAGTTGCGAAGATATTCGGCTAGAGCAACAGAAGAAAATATTGTTAATATCCTAGCATACGTGGAATTTTGTCTTCCGTCGTTCTATGATCAGTTCCACTCATCCTGAGAATATAGAATTTTTTTATTCTTGGTCCAGATCGGAAATGTCAAGACGCTCTAAGGACTGTCGCCAGAATTTATGCTAATAAAAATTTCAGCCACGTTATCTTGGAAATTATCAGCGGACCACATTTCCTTTTCGTTTTTTTCTATGACAGTGGAACATAATTACTCCAATTTGTTCAGTAACGTGTTGAGACGCTTCACCTATTAATGAACGAACAGGTTCTGTATTGAAATCGGAGTTGTTCTTTGTCATATAGCGCTTTACTTTATTCTATACCATCTCGATAGGGTTAAGCTCACAGTGGTACGGTGGTAAACGTAAAAGATCAATCCCGTATTTTGCAGCCTTTGTCATACTCATTTTTGTATGCGTGGGCAACTTGGATACCTAAATTTAACAGAATGATAGGACGCCTTGTGCATAAGAGCAACATTTTTTTTCATTCTTTGGAAATTAGAAATTAGGGACTTCTCAAGCCATTCCTCCAAATATTCTCCGTTCATTTCGTCATGCTAATTGCCATGCATATCCTACATGAAACACCACGAAATGTGCACTTCTTTTTATAGGTGCCTTGGAACCTATTACTAAACCTTTAAAAAAACCATATCTGCAATTTGCAATCATAATTTAAAGTATGGACCCACATTGAGCCAACTCTTATCTAATTACAATTTTCGCACTAGCATGGAGCACTTGCACTCTTTTAATTTTTTTGAATTTCATCTTAATGGTAAAAATTCGAACATAAAATTTTCATATTTGTGGGTATTATAATTAATTTATGAAAGCTTTGATGACCTATTTTACAAACAAATTCAAAACATGCTACTCTAATCTTTGTCTGAGTAATCCATTTAATATATTAATTTTTCTACTCCCTTCTGTGACATACCTAATTATACACCGGTCTAACGTGCGGAAAGCGTCACTTCACCACGTAAATTTCTTTCCCGGTTTGAGAGCAATCGGATGTTTTCGGAAATTTTACCGCACGGCTTGAATTTTGACGTTTGTCAATTCTGACAGTCATGTCCGTGAACGTATTCGTGTTGTTTTGCAAAAATGTACCCAAAAACTAACGGTCGTTAAAAAAAATATAGTACGTAACACGTTTGGTAAACCTTTTTGAGTCACTCGTTTATTAAACACTCGCTCCGCTCGTGCCAAATAAACTAATGACTCAAATTCCGTTTACGCACTTGTTGCATAATATATTATTTTCCACTTACTTCTGCAGAATACCTAATTATACACTGATCTAGCATGCGGAAAGCGTCTCTCTACCACGGATCCCAGCCACTTCGGACATATCCGGGATATTACTGCACGGGTTTGGGAGCAATCGGATGTTTTCGGAGATTTTACCGTTTGTCACTTCTGGCGTTCATGTCAGTGAATGTTTCCGTGTTGCTTTGCAAAAATGTGCCCAAAAATTAACGGTTATAGAAAAAATATCGCATGCAACACATTTGGTAAACTTTTTAAGTCACTCGTTTATTGTTTGTTGCATAATATAGTATTATCTGTATTTAAAATGAAATTATCTATCTGCATGACACACGGCTATATTTTCCGTTGAACCGACTCTGAGATTGGTATTTATTTCTCGCTATTAGAGATACAGTGGCCTTACCTATGCTGATAATACAGGAACTTGTAAAGCAACTAGGAGGGTCCATACAACATTCGCATGCGGTATGTAACAAGCAACATGGCCGCTGACAGATCGTCAATAATTTTTGATGCGGCATTCTAACGTCCGGATTTTCTCAAAATATGCCTAGATGTAGTCAAATGTTCTGGTAAAACGGATCAAGTGTGTGGACATTACTATTTAGGTGGCGTAAGGGCAGGTTAGTGGATGAAATGTAGCGTAGAGGTATGCGTGGAAAATCATTCTCTCATCATCTCTACGAAAATATCAATATCGCCTGCAGCGCATCAGTGTTAACCGTGGTAGGGCCACTATATTATCTACTAACTATAAGGGTTCTTGGTATTTCCGTGTCGCTTTCTCCCTTTTGAAATACATACCCACACAGTACTCTCAGCGTGAGTTGGGTTATATCCGAGATTGTACTCAGTACTACTCAGAAAAAGTAATTTTACGCTAATCCCGCATTTCGAAGAGATTCAAATGGACAGCTTCATTATGAGGAAACACCAACAAATGTTTTAATTTTAAATTAGCAATTCGATGAAGTTTTTGTTGGTATGTGAAGTTTCGGTTTTGCCGGAAAAGTTACAATATCACCTGTACATCTTGTAAAAATTAAACTTAAGCTGATTATAACTGAGCCACCTATATGTAGGCCTAGCAACAACTTCATCTGTTTGGCAGCTTAGTTAGTGTTTGTCTGAGTTCCGATAGCAGAATAGAATTTTAATACTTTTAAGGCTTTACTTGTGTCTGTAACAAACAAAAATTACACTGCCCACGTAACAGTAATTTTAAAATTATTGTAGCAACAATACCTTTTGGATTTCAAAATTATAAATTTATAAAAAATTTAATTTTAATCTTGAAAAAAGAAAAATAAGTGCGAAAAATACCGATTCAGTAACGACTTTTTAAAAAATTTTGTCAACTAAATTTCCATCTATATTTTAGGCCAGGAATGACATATTCAGATGAGGTTTGGCTTGATGGAGCTAATGCATTTTGTAACGAGACCAAGTTTTATACAATCCGTAGGGGGTCACATTTAATCGACCCCACCTTGACTTTCGTAATAAAATATTTTGTTGCAAATCTTGATGACGTATGGTTTCCCAGATGCAGTATATGGAATTCTTGTCCGACCACCCTGTATATGAAAAGTTAAAGAATGTTTGCTTTTCGTTTCAGATATACTGCCGACGGATATCCAGTGCGCCAGCAGGTCGCATTGCCGTCGGCTGATACGACGCCGCCGTCTTCTCTACCCTGCTGCTCCGCAAAATGGCCGCCATATTTGCCCGCGAATCCCCAAAACATACCGAGCGTATCAAAAAGAAGCGCCAGTGCTCAAACCGACACCGAAGATGAATGTGATAGTGTCACCTACAGTGCTGTGAACAAAAACGACTCGGCGGCGATGCCAAATGCTCAAAATGTCGTGGTAAACGAAGTGCTGACTGAAAGCCCGGATGAGGGGTACGAGGGAGAGCCTTCTGTCGTGTAGCGCGAGTGAGTTAGTTAAGTTTGCGCAAAAGAAAATTATCGACACTAACGTGTCGTTGGGCTTGTTACACGTGATCAGTGTCTCGAACGAGTAACTAAGTTTGAGACATTAAGGAAGGATTATTGAACTTTAAAACTTTGCAATTCGCCTGGACTGGATATATTTGAAGTTCGGGAAACAGGAGATGCAATAAAATGTTACGGGATTAGAAAATGGTAACAGGGCACAAAACAAAAATTTCCACCAAGCGTTTTTTTTTTAAATATTTATTGTTATTAAATGACAAGGAAAGGTGATTAGTAATAATTTTGCCACTATTATTGACCCCTCTTTTTCAAACTTCAATCAGAAGCGTTTTTAAAAAATTTTAATGTTCCAAATTACTCAGTGGCTATTATTTTGATATACAGAGTGCCGCATCCAAAATGCATTATATACAGGCTGACAAGGAACTTTTTGTCAGGGATACAACTTTTGAGGCAAAATGCATTTCGACCCTCTACGTGAGTGTGTCATCTCGCAATTTTTGAGTGTCAACGGTTAGTTTTTGAAAATCATTCACAACTTTTGAAAATTATGTCTTCGAAATACCAACCATTCGTTGGATCAAAAAGTTAAAGATCGGTTTGATTTTTCTTAAAAACTCCTCTGCGTATTCGTCAAATAAATCCTCGAAGTGTCTACCAACGAGCATACAGTGATACATTCTACAACATGCTGAGTGCGCTAAACTTTTTTTTATATATCTCCACAAAAGGCAATTTAAAAGATTAAATTTAGGTCTTCATCCTGTCCAAAGTCCTGGAAACGTGAGTTATGACCTTTTTAGAAATAAGTTCTTGTTGATTTTATGCAGGATTCGTTCTCTTACCAACCGAGACATGTAACTCCTGGGGTTGTGGGTTGTTTGATGTCTAGTAGAAAATCCTTGGTTTCATATCATCCCAGTAATAACAATTGCGGCCATTCATTAAACCATTCAAAAAGAAAGTGCACTTCCCAAAAAACAATAGGAAATTGTCATTATTATTTGCTCATTTAATGGGTTTAATCAGTTGTCTGCATTTAGGTGGTAATGTTCAATTGTCAGTAAAATTAAATTTATTTTTGGCTTTTTGTGAAACGTATTGATGGGATTTCAAAGGTTAAACAATGACATCCTCACTAAAGAAGTTGAATGTTTTGCGTCAAAAGTTGTCGCCATGACAAACAAATTTGAATTTGGTTATGCCAATAAGTTTTTTCCGAGTCAGTTTTTTCACAGTTCACATCCAAATCTATTGTTATTATTTATTTAACTGAAAAAACAAAACATAGATATAGATTCAACGACTTTAACAATGTATTAAGTATTATTTGTTTGTTGAACTGATATCACTGTTGCTTCTGATCGATGTGGCTGTTAAATTGGTATTTGGTATAATAATAAAATAATCATGTTGAACTTGGAACACTGCCGAACAATGACGATATGCAATTAATTACAGAAATGTAGGCATTTACGGCTGAAAAGTGTGTGGATCGTGCCATTTATATTCCAACAATGATAATTAATAAACAGTATTCAAATGTGTGATAATTTAGCGAACAATCGGAAAATCCCAAGTAGGACAGTTGAAAGGTTTGTTATACAGGGTAATAGAACTAAGAAGAATAATACAATTTGTAATATCTCAAAATGAACGACAATGTATTAAACTAGTCAAGAAAAACCTTAGAAATAATGTTAATGTGGAAACTTATGTGTAGTAGGCAAAAAGATGATATAGTTGTCTATATCAATAAATTATTATATACTCTGTTAGACGTTCTGTAGAAGAATTCCGACGTACTGTATGTTATTAGACTTTTGTAATATAAATTATTTTTTAAGAAGTAGGCTGTATCAATTGGTGGCAATTTTAACTACGACAACTTGAATTGGTTTTGCAATATTTGGGAGTTGTATGGAATATTCCCGGCGCATCCGGAAAGAAAGTCACTTATCTCCGCTTAGTCCTTAATGGACCAATGCATTCAGCCACTAGAGAACAATGAAATGCACTGTAAAAGAGACTCTAATTTCGCAGCTGGGTTTTACCAATATTACCAATATTTTATAACCCATGTTGCTTTGAATGTTAGTTGGTCAGCACCTGAAGGAAACATATTATCGCAATTTTAAGACAATAATGATCGTTCCTGTAACTAACTATAATTTTATTATCTACTATCTACAAAACGAACTAAAGATCAAGATACAAAAAGGAATGAGCATATCTAATTTCAATGTTTATCGCTTTGGGGAACAGTAAAGCAAGAAATGTTAAAGTCATTATAATACAAACATTTTAGTTCGGACTGTTTGTAGACTTTAATTAAATTTTATAAAACGGGCGTCATAAAAAGGGTATCCGCCTGTCTTTATTTCGAGTGGGAGCCAAATTTATTCTCTACGTCGAGAAAATAATGGGATCGAAATTTCTAACCTGACCTGCTTTCGACTTCATTATCAACGAAGAAAATGTTATTTCGACATCACTCACTGGAAAGAATGGCTGTCTTCCAGGCTGCAATGATATTTTCCTTTCATTAATAACGGACTTAAATTTATTGTATCAGATAACGAAACGTTATATAAGGGAGGCAGGTAGCTGATTCTTGCGGCACTCCTTACTTTGCCTCTACGGCAATGCCTTGAATCGATATATAAAAGGTAACGTAGAAAAAAGTAATTTACGAAATCTTCATTGCCAACAAAGCGATTTAATTAATTTGCAAATTTATATCTTCATCTTAAATAATTTCGAAAACTTTGCATACAAATCATCAGCAAACCGTTTTTATTCACGTTTTTTTAGCAGGACGTAAAACATACATAATTATATATAGCTTTAGCTCAAAATATATTTTCATTTATCCGATAATTCTTAAACTTAGATTTGAATGATATGACATTGACAGAATTGAATATTTTGGGAGCCATATATGAAAAAGAACGATCAAAAAGTGCCGCTTTGTGGCGCGGTTGGTTGAGTAATAAGTTGTAAAAAGATTTTCCCTCAATTGGTGCAAAAAACAAGCGATATGCAATTTCAGTCGGTCCTGGATAGTGAGTCACTCGAAAATCCGAAACTTACAGAATACACGATCTCCTATTTCCAGTCCAGTACTCTTGGTGAACATCAAGACATGGGCCATAGACAAATCAGCGGTATTGCAGATCGACAGAACCAAAGACTCACTCACATAGTTGTTTTTTTTAATGCATGCTTAAGTTTATCTTTGTTTTTTATCAATTTTTTTTTTTTGGAGAATTGCCATATTATATTGATTTTAATTTAATTGAAAAATGTATAAATCTTAATGTTATACATCAAATCAAAAAATGTATTTTGTTTTGTTCACGCGAACAAAAAACAGATCAATGCTTAAGTAGAATGCCGATTTTCAGGAAATATTATTTTCATAATTCTCGCAATTTTCGGTTACGCGAATTTTCACACATTTTCCATTACGAACAAACAAAGAACAAATCTAGAGCTACTCGAAAATTTGTGACGGGTTCATCGAAGCGTTTACCCCATTTGAAATCATTGTTCTTTAGAATGTTTCAAAATTCAGTAACAAGATTTTGGGTACATATTTTTCACGTTAAGTGAAATAAGACTTTGTGTGTCCGCCAACGCTTCGTGCGATACTCAGCCTGTATAACACCAAATTAATTTTCGGTGTTGGTTACTATTGGCATTCGCGGTTCTGAGCCGGAAAAATATAAATTATTTATTGATGCTGACTAACCTTAATTAAAGATGGTGGAGAAGTAGTTGGCTTCGAATTCTATTTTCATTGTGAGTTTTTGGTTTCATTTCAGATAGTCTTTAATAACGCTGAGCATTATTTTAACCTTTTGCGAATTATGAAAAAGAAAAAACAAACAAAAAAATCCTTGCTTAAAAAATTTCTTTGCCTTAAAGGGGAGAATAACCAGTTTTCAATATTTTAGTTTAGATCTCAAAAATAATTTAATCGGTTAGTTCGAAAACCAAAATTGGACATTTTGAAGTAAGATAACCATTTTGTTTAAAATTTGTCTCTTCATCAATTGAGCGTAAGAACGGTACTAGGTACATAGCAATTAAGGTAGCACAGGTGATTGCACCCGTAGAATGAGGAGAAAAACTGTACATATCCGTGACTTGAACGGTTTTTTATCTCAACAACAAAATAGTATCCATTTGCTTGTTTACACTCACGGAGTTCAGTTCTTGTGCATGCGTATTGTTAAAAATAGCTTGACGTCTACGATTTTTCAATAAATTCAAGTAAAATTATGTCATCCAGTGATAGTGAATGAGGTAATGAATCTGGTAGTCATGGAAGCAAAATCAATCCAGAGACATCGCGTCAGACATGCGGAAAACAAACAACAAAGTAAATCAAACTCTTCTTATTTTGTTTTTAAAGGCCCAGATCGAATTTCCGTGTGCAAACAGGCATTTATAAGTCTTCATGCCATATCACATCGGTAAGTTCAGCGCTTGAATACCCTACTTTTGGTAGGTATATCACCACAGGATTTCAGAGGCAGGCATAATAATAGATAGAGGTGTTTCCGGTCAAAGTTTTACATTACTTCTCCAAAACCATTCGTTATTTAGATGCATCGTTGGATGTAAAGAAAATGCATGCATTGTTTGTCGCAAAATATCCAGAGCTGGAAAATTTAATTAATTACGAATTCTATTTGAAATATTTTAACGAAAACTTCGCTTTTAAGTTTGGGAGACCGCAGGTTGATGTATGCTCGGAGTGCGAAAGACATGGAACAAAGCTGAAGGATGTTAACCTTAACAATAACTCAAAAAGAGTAGTTGCAGCGGGACTAATAGTCCATAAAAGGCGGGCAAAGAAATTTTATAATAAAATAAAAGAATTTAAAAACTTGTACACTCAACTACCAGAAGTAAAGGGACTAGCTTTTGATTATATGCAGAAAATGCCACTATCGCATATTCCAGTTCAGGAAATATTTTATTTTAGACAGTTCTGGGTATTTACATTCCGAACATGCAATCTGAAGGAGAATATTTGCCATCTTTATACTTACCATGAAGGTGAAGGTCACCTAATGAAGTGTGTACATTTCTGAATGACTACATAACGAATCGTATACCACCTAATATCACTGAACTGCATTTATTTTTCGATGGATTGGCACGGCATAACCGAAACCAAACAATGGTTCGTTTCCTCTTAGCATTACAGTCAATCAAGACGTACAACAAAATCTATCACTACTTTTCAGTAAGAGGGCATGCGTTTCTACTCTGCGACCGAGATTTCGGATGTGCAAAACGGAATTTCAGAAAACATGACCGAATTTACACTCCAGAGCAATATGAGAATTTAATATTGACTTCCAGAAGAAAGCAAACATTTACTGAGGTGGATCCGACACTGACATTACTGGTTTTAAGAACTGGTTGCCTAATTACTATAAAAAAAACGTGTAGCACTCGAGGCACCGGTTCCAATAAGGAAAAGTTTGCTGTATCAAACTATTGTCAGTTCCTGTATGAAAGTAGTAATCCAGGATACGTTAAAACCTGGGTGTATATAGATGGTTTACACTCCCATACTTTTAAATTGCTCAAAGAACATAAGAGCAGTCCACCTCTGCCCAATAATAAGGCATATCAAGGACCTGTACCAATTAACGAAAAAACCACATCATCATCACAATGTATTTTCTCCTTGTCCCGTATAAACATTAAAAAAATCAAAAATTATTCATTAGTTGTTTTTATATAGGGGTTTGAGTTAAAAAACCGTACAAGTCCATCCCCTCCTTTTATCTGCGATTCGATTTTATTTTTGAAAAACTTAAAAATACATTGCAAACCACGAGACCTAAAACTTTTCCATGCAAACCCAAATCATATGTCGACAAGTTTCAATGTTAAAAGGTTTTTATTAATTTTCTGGAAACGCTGATTTTGAACTTGTACGGTTTTGGAACTCACCAATTCAATTAATAACAATTAATATAATTCGGATATCTTCAAGAAGACGTTTAAAATGAATCTCGTACTAATAGCTAATTTCTCGCGGTCATAAAAACGAAGTGAAATGAATACCCGAATTTTAAGCTTCTTATTTTAGGTAACAGGGAAATTTAATTATCACAATACTTATGACGACTGGCGAGAAGAACGAAGCAGGAAAGCAAAACAGTGTTTTTTATTTCAACATGTTCCTAAATTTGGAAAAGAAAGGAAATCCCGGACGTCAATATAAATGAACCGGAAGGAGTGATATCTCACGATGGAGAAAATTAATCGGCAGCACATTAAGTTGGGGAAAGTTTTCGCCGGCTGCTGGCAGAAATGATCCTTTCTTCACATAGTTAAGTCCATTTAAGGAATTACGTTTGAACAAATTAATATTTCTTGCACCAGAGACGAACTTTTTCGAAGCGGAAAGAGAAGGATCGATCGTTTTTGTTATTGAAAAGTTCGCGGTTATTATATAAACTTTCGTGTCTGATAAGGGAACCGTAAAAATTACAACTAAGTGTTAGAACAGTTCGGAGATTGCCTCAACCGTTTCGGCGAGAAATGTGTTATACAAATCAATAACATATTACAGCATGTCAATAAAAGTCTGTTTTTGTCCCTGCATGCAGTTTTAAAAATTTAATTAATTTAATTAGAAAGAGACTCACTTTCTATTCATCCGCAGAGGAAGGTTACTTCTTATCTCATAATGTCATCATCACGATTGCCAATTTTGTCATCCAAAAGGAATTTTATTTAGTTCAAACTCATCTATTCTTGTAAAAGAAGAGTCCACGCTTTTCGTAAAATTTTTCTTATTCCCTGAACTAATTAAGC